GACACTGAGTCTCCCGGCTGATCCGGAATAGGCAAGGGCCTGAGAAGACCTAAGGGCGCGCGTGTAGTAGACTTATTTCTCTGGCACACTTTACAACTGCGGACATACTCTATGCAGTCATTCTTCATCCCTGGCCATGTGTACGCACGCATCAGATTGGCTAACGTCTTTTGCCAACCGCTCCGTTTGCCCGTCCGTTTGATGGCTATGCAGTCATTCTTCATCCCGACGGTGCTTATTAGCGTACGAAGCATCATTTGAGCGGTTTGATGTGCCCGCTCCGTTTGCCCGTCCGTCTGTGGATGCGGAGCCGAACTTGGTTTCATCTTCGTGCCGGACTCCTGCATGAGAGCAGTCCAAAATGCCGACATGAAGCGAGTGTCGCGGTCACTGACTATGTCTTCCGGTACACCGTGGCCGCAAATCCAGCCGGTGTGCAAGAGGCGTGCCAGTTCGGGAGCCGTGGAGTAGTACTTGCAAGGGAGAAAACGCGCGTACTTACTCAAACAGTCCACGACCGTGAGGATGTCGTCGTGCCCGAGGCAATCGCGGGGAAATGGTCCGGTGACATCCATGGCAATGGAGAGGCCGGGTTCCCGTGGGATAGGCATCGGGCGCAACTTGCCGTAGGGGTTGCGATTGCGGGGCTTGCTTCGTCGGCAAACTTCGCAAGAGTCACAATATTGAGTGACATCGGTAACGAGGTCGGGCCATCGGAATCGTTGTCGAAGCCGTGCAATAGTGCGGTTGACTCCGAAATGGCCGGCGAGTCGCGGGTCATGGTACTCCCCGAGAAGGCGAGTCCGAAGACGATGGTCTCGTTGGACGCACAATACCTCCTTGCCTCTCGAGTGGAGGAGCAAGTACCCGTCGGCAATGCGATAGTGGCTGGCCGACGGGTGATCCGAAGATAGCTACGCATACAACGTGGCGAAGTCCGGATCAGACTCATAGCCCCGGATGAAGTGTTGCTGGAGTTCCTCGTCAAATGCGAAAGCATGATGTGTCATAGCGCAAAGATCGGGTCTTGGCGAGAGTGCATCTGGTGCGCGATTGGAGACGCCGGGGAGATGTTTCAGTGTGAAGTCAAATTGGTCGATGAAGTACATCCATCGTCCGATCGTGCTGCTCACCATATCCTGCGTCTTGTAGTAGGTCAATGGGTTATTGTCCGTGACCCATGTGAACCTACGACACCCAAGGAGGAAGTGTCGTCATCGCTTGAGAGCCATCACGAACTCGAGCGACTCATTCCTCCTTGCATCATCAAGTGAATTGATGGGAGGCACTTTGTGGCTGAAATACTCCACAGGGTGCCATTCATCGTTGTCGTGTTGTTCCAAGACTGCCCCAATGCCATAGCCGGAAGCGTCGGTTGTCACTCTCGTTGGCAGGGTGGGGTCGTAGATGCTAAGGACGGGTGCCATGAGCATGGCCGTCTTGAGTGCTTGGAATGACCGGCGTGCGTCATCATCGAACACGAATGACACCTTTGGCGATTGTAATCTCGTCATAGGTGCACCAATCCTTGAGTACCCGGTGATGAATCGCTGATAGTAGCCCGCCAACCCCATGAATGAACGAATGTCCGTGGTGTTGGTGGGCTCGGGCCATACGCAGATGGCCTCAATCTTGTCCGCAAGCGGACGGATGCCTTGCGGCGTCACATAATGTCCCAAGTACTCCAGCTCTTGCCGCGCAAATTCGCATTTGTCGCGGTTGGCTTTGTACTTGGCTTGTCGTAGCCGCTCCAAAACGGTGCGTAGGTGCTCCACATGCTTGTCCAAACTCCGACTGTACACCAAAATGTCGTCGAGGTAGATAAGTACAAATCGATCCAGCATGTGTCGGAACTCCGTTGTCATAGCTGCTTGGAAAGTGGCTGGGGCATTCGTAAGGCCAAACGCCATAACCAGCCATTCGAAATGCCCATATTGCGTCTTAAACGCAGTCTTGTAGCGGTCCTCCTGCCGGCTCTCGAGTTCGTGATATCCCGATTTGAGGTCTAGCTTGGAGAAGAACTTGGCGCCGCCCAGCCGTTCGAGGAGGTCGTCGATGCGTGGAAGAGGGCCGGCGTTCTTGACCGTTTGCGTGTTGAGCTTGCGATAATCGATGCACAACCGCAGATCCTTGTTTTTCTTCCGGACGAAAAGAACGGGAGCACCGTATGGCAAGGAGCTAGGCCGAATCCAGCCTTTCTCCAGAAGGTCGTCGAGTTGTACCCGTAGCACACTTAGCTCTTCCTCGCTCATTCGGTAGATGCAACCACGCGGAGGTACAGCCCCGTCCTCGAGGATGATCTCGTGGCGGATGGGCCGATCCGGTACTACTCCGTGCGGGCCTTCGGACACGTCGCCGTAGACGTCGAGAAACTCGGTGATGCGTGGGTCCGAAGATGAGTCCGTCGATGAAGCGTCATGGGGCGGGAGGGCTTGGAGAAAACACACCCCCATCTCCTCGATGTCGTCTCTGATGATGGAAGCTCGCATGCTTGCGGCGGACACCACGTGGCAGTTGATCCAAGGGTGTGGAGGAGGCACCGTGCATGGGACTACTACTCCGTTCCAATCACGAACGTGAACGGTGCGGCGGTAGAAGTTCACCGGGTGATCCTCACTTCGCAGCCATGAAATGCTCACGATCATGTCGAATTTGGTGTCCAAAATATTGAAGGACACCGCCTCGCTTGCATGCGGGCAAAGTACACGAGAACGTCATCTATGCACCAGTCGATTGACTTGTGCGTGTGACCGTCTGCCAACGTGACTTGCGTAGGTTGGGACTTCCTCCGAACGCGTGGGCCAAGGCCGGCGCGTACCATAAAGTCCTGGCTCATGTAGTTGCGAGATGCTCCGCAATCGATCAAAGCGTTGCAGGTCGTCTCTCCGATCTGAATGCGTACATATAACAATGGTGCGTCGATGTCGTCGTACCGTTGTGTCCTGAACTCGCGGTCGATCTTCGCAATGTAATTGTGAAGGTCGACAACCTCTACTCCGGCGCCCATCAACGGAGTTGGTACTGCAGTGTGCAAGTAATCCCGCAGTTGTGCCATGAGCACGTTGCAATGCGGTTTCGACAATCGATTGGACCGGGGAAGGGGCATCCATTGGAAGCCCGCAAACGTCAACGGGTCGAGCTCTTCAAGTCTTGACCATGTCATCGAAACCCCGGCTATAGATGGCGGCAAAGCTGCCGACTCGGTTGCCGATGGTAGTGAAACCGTGCATGCGGTGGATTGTTGCACGTGGAGTGGTTGGTCCAACGGTGGGACCAAGTGGACAGCATAATCCTCGTAAGTAAGCCGAGGACTTGCAACATTCGCATCCTCCCCAGATGTGTAGGAGGCCGCTAGCAAGGCGGCCGAATCTGGCGGAGGGAGAGGTGGAGTCGCCTCACCTCCCGCGCAACTCAGTTTCCCGAGTTGATGCGAGGCCGAACATCCTCCTTGCCTTGATCCGGGCATTGGGAGGTCTTGTGCTTGGTGTTGTTGCACCAATAGCGGCAGCCGTAGCGGCCGCGCTACTTGTATTCTGCCTCGGTCAAGTGAAACTTGACCCATGGTGCTGGCTGTCCGTTTCCGGCCGGCGATGCGGTTTTCGCCTTCCCGTTTCCTCGGGACTTGTTGTTGCTTCGCAGCTGGACAACAGCCCCCTGATCTCCCTCACGTGATGCTTGGGTGGCTGCCGGGTCTTCCACAATGTTGTCCGTGTGGACTGCAGCGACATGCTGCGGGCGCGGACCAAATTTTCCTTTCTCCACATAGGTTGGCTGCCATGCCGACTTCTCGTGTGCAGCCGCCCTATTGGTCTCGATGATCTCCCTTGCCTTGTCGATGATTTCGGCGAAGGTCGCGTATTGCTCGCGATCACCAAGTGCAAGGCTCAAGGCAGCACATGACCGGTTGTAGAACTCCCGACGCAGGTGCGAAAATGGCAATTCGAGATCCGGCGTCGCCGCGATCTTTTGCCATTCCATGAGCCAGTCACGTGTCGATGTGTTGCCTTGCGTCACAGCGAAGAGGCGGTTGATGGCGAGCGTCGGGGCGTCGTCCACGATGAACCGCTTTTTCCATAGCCGTGTTAACTCTTCCCAAGAGATCTTATCTTTCGGATCTGTGACGTCGACGCCATGGACGGTTGCCAGGTGGCTCAGCCAGATCTGGCATTCGCCCTTTGAGTTGAGAAACAGCGCACCGATGTACAAGTGCTTGGGGACGAACAAAATCCGAAGTTGCGTCGTAAAGCCCTCCCACCAGATGACCGGGTCTTGATGTGTGTAATCATCGAACTTCTCGATTTGGAATGTCGGCATCTTGTAATGCTGCGTGGTGTTGTTAGGCAGCTGGTGCAGTTGCTGAACCTCGGTCTTCAAGGTGTCCAGCTGATTGTTGATGGTGGCTGGTGCAGCGAAGGTACTGATGTCGCCGAGCATTGCGACTACGTGGTCAACTCGTTCCTCCAATTGGCGGGTAGAGGGTGCACTGCTGGTCTCGCCAGCATTCGGTCTTGGTGCAACTTGCTCCAAGTCCTGTACACGGGAATGAAGTGCTCGTGTAGCATCCTCGTGCAGATCCTTGTGGCTCTGCATTCCCCGTCGGAGAATCGCTAGCTCGGACTGCAGGTGGTTACAAGTGCAGACCAACCGGGTCACGAGCTTGGCCAGGAATTCCTTATGTTGCTCCTCCGGTGTCGCGTCGTCGTGCCCCTCGGATGGTTCAAAGTGCCAGAACTTGAGCTTTTCTATTCTGGTGGCTTCATGCCGTTGTAGCAGATCCTGGGCCTCCTTGCGGTGTGCCTGGGTATCTGCTTCAGCTTCGGCTTGAAGTCGCTGCTTTTCAACTGTCGCTGCCGCTTCAGCCTGTAGGCGGACAGCCTCGGCTGCCAGCTGGCGCTGTTCCTCAGCCTCGATTAGTGCGAGCTGAGCTTCGAAACGTTGTCGGTACTCGGTAATGGACTCATTGGCCAGTTGGCCTGGCATACCCAGAGCTGAGCCCGTCATGGTGGCGGGGCACTGCTGACGTGGCACTGTTGACGTGGCACTGTGGCACTGCTGACGTGGCACTGTTGCTGACATGGCACTGTTGCTGACGTGGCACTGCTGATGTGGCACTGCTGACATGGCACTGTTGCTGACGTGGCACTGCTGACATGGCACTATGCCAACCCGGGAATGCATGCAAAGGGGTGGGTGGGAGGGAAAACGCAGATAGGTAACCAACCCAGCTATACTTTCCTCCCGGTCCTAATCAACAGACTAAAAAAAAAAAAAGAAAAAAAA